AGAGCTGAAGTTTTTTTTTATAATTATGTGTTCATTTCAGTTTATCGCAGACTGAAATAAAATCGAGCATTACTGCCCGTAAAAGTGATCCAGTAAAATGCAAAGCTGAAGTTTTTATATAATTATATGTTCATTTCAGTTTATCGCAGACTGAAATAAAATCGAGCATTACTGCCTGTAAAAGTGATAAATTTCTTAATCGAACGTTCGTATGAATTTGTATTGCTGAAGAAAGTTTATTTTGAAGTTTTGTAATATGCGTAAAAATAATTTTTTAGTTTAGCAATATTATAAAAAAAATTGGCGCATTTGGTTATCCCAACTTACTCAGTTGTTCATGTTATGCAATCCTAGTATAAAAAATATCCGTAGAGCGACCTTGTGCATTTGCTGGGAACATAAGGCAAGGGCTGTAAATAAATAAGATGCGAGTTTTGCTATCTGTTTCAAGTTAATAAAAAACTTTAACTCTTCGATTAATTGAATTCTACTTGACTCATAGTAATTGGACTTTTAATTGGCATTTTATGTACGTAAGTTATCCAAGAAATTTCGTGCAAACTTTGGCAGGAAAGCTCCAATGCCGTCTTTATCTCTCATGATGGAAGTTATAGTTCGAATTACTTAGGATATGTTTCATTAACAAATGTCATGACTCGTCTACGAATTTCGGCTCTGAAATCTAACTATAGAGGCCTGAGGAAATTTCTATGATTTGCATGCATTTGCATGATTGATGGAAATAAGAGCGGAATTCAATGCCCTCATCGTTGGCACGTTCTAGCTACTTGCTTTTTGTTATTTTCTGTAATTTTGAGGACTTTTACATGTTGGAAAGATGCATTTTTTCTCTCTTGTCCATTTCGAAAATACGAGTAGTATAGAAATACTGCAAGTAGGAGTGGAAATATTGCGTTCGCCTATACTTTTCACAAGTAGAGTCTCATCAATTGACCAAAAAGTAATAATTATTAAGTGCTTCTAACTCACTCATGGTCAGATTATCTGTATCTTACGATCTATTTCATAATAAATTTAATAAATATCTTACTTACCATCTGTTCGATGTTTCTGTTGAAATTGACGTCTCTGTTGAACTAGAAACGAACTCCTCGATCTTTTACTCTAATTTTTCGAAGATATACAGTGGGGGGAAATAAATATTCGTACACTTGAAAAATCGTATTTTAATGTATGTAAGTACACAAACGTAACAGGAAAAGTGATTTAAATTATGTATAGAGACGCATAGTATTCAAAAATACTATCAAAAGAAATTAAATCTCAATGCAACAAAAAACAATGCTAATACTATGCGTCTCTATACATAATTTAAATCACTTTTCCTGTTAAGTTTGTGTACTTACATACATTAAAATACGATTTTTCAAGTGTACGAATATTTATTTCCCCCCACTGTATGTTAGTATTTTGATCCAGCGATGAATAAAGAAGATGTTGCTTGTACCGTGACAGCTTCATCGTATCGTCGAGTGAGGACGAAAGGCAAGCTGGTGATGAGACCACCCTATGTTCCTTAAGATTCTGGCTGCGCTAAATAAAAAAATTAGATCAGTACTCACTGATGTGTGTGACAGAGAGCGCATTTTCTCGTCCGTCCGTCCGTGAAGTCACGGAAGGACGGAGCTGCAGCTCATTCGCCACGTTAATGAGTAATGAGTGCAGTTCATGCAGCATGATAATGAGCAATGCGTACAGCTCATTATTATTATAATGAGCCCATGAGTGGCTGTATGACCTCATGTTTATTGAGTGCCCCACTGACGGTTTGCAGTCAAGTCAACGATGACGCTAAACCAGTCATATTTGAGCTACAGAAAGACCGTGTACTCGGATAAGCATTTTAAAACATGCCTTCCGTTGTTTGTATCATTGCATTGTATAATTGTACAGTTGAGTTGCATCTGAAGCTGATCATATTTGTTTATGTTAAATTAGTTTTATGAATAAGGGAAAATTCAAGACTGATCGGCCATCTATGCAATGTAGTGAAGATTGAAATTTTGACTAGCGTTCGGAATGCCGATTTTTTTTTGTGCTGTAGTATCTAATAATTTTTTCATGTTTGCCAAGGTTTTTGATAGTGGGAAAGTAGTTGATTTCAAATGTCTGCTCTAAAAATGTTCAAAATCAAGTATACGGGAAAATGTTAGCCATCAACTTTGTGTCTGTGGACAAAATATGCACTGCAACATAAAAAATTTGCACTGCAACAAAATAGGCACTGCAAAACATGCACTATAAATCCTGCTTGGTGAACAAAAGCAAAGTGGCGAAGTTGACTAGCTTCGTGGCCGGTGCGTAGTGGTGCAATCGTCATATCAAATCATTATAGTGCAGACCAAAGATCATATTTCACATCTCTTTTGATCCACAATTTTATTTGATTAATAATTTAATTGTTAACAAATTATTATTTTCATTCTACCTCAATATATATTTAGATTCATTTACACGCTGAACATCGCTACTTCTCCCATGTCAGAATTCGAGTGTTGTATACAAATAGTCTTGCTTATAGATTCTCTAGTATAGTTATTAGTTAGTGATGAACGATAAATGTGGTCGAAGCTGAACCTGCAGGTCACGATATCGATATCTTCAAGCTAGGCTCATATTGGTCTGGCCCACATAGGATATTGAATGCCAAGTTTGACGTTCCTGTTCCGTCTGGAATTTATGTGCCTATTTTATACAGTAAATATCCTATTCAAGCAAGAGTTGGATGATGAAGTTTATAATGACTATTTGAAGTGGTGATAGACCGAAAAATGAACGATTGTATCTTAACTTGAACTTTCTGAGACCAGAATAAATCCTTTATTTTTACTTGAGCTTATGAAGAACGTTTTATTTTCGGCTCCACCTGTGTTCATCATCCGCATTATTCTTGCAATTGCTGTATTTATTGGCCGAATTTTCGCTCTACTTAATCTATTGATGCAAGATCGGCTACACTGAAAAATCGTGCTTCGAACTATCGCCGCATTGTACAATCGTCTCCATAGTTACCGTATTATCGACGCGATTCTTCAAATCACAAAGTGAACACTCAGAGACATGAGCCGGTCGTTGTCTAAATTATGATACACTTTAGCCCTTGTGTGGGTCATCCTGATTCAGTTTGGCCCGGCAAAAGGGCGATTACGTGTAACGTCTGCTCTCTGCTCGTGCTGCGGTTAAGAAATAGACTCACTTATTAAACCCTTATGCTATGGTTTTCAAACCATGGGTTTGGCTTTAAAACCACGAAAAACCCTTATGCTATGGTTTACAAACTATGGGTTTGGCTTTAAAATCCCGAAAAAACCCTTGTGCTATGGTTTTCAAACCATGGATTTGGCTTTAAAACCCCGAAAAACCCTTGTGCTATGGTTTTCAAACAATGGGTTTGGCTTTAAAACCCCGAAAAAAAACCTTATTCTATGGTTTACGCTATGACCCAGATGTTATTCCGAGTGTATATATTTGTCTCCGTACACTGACTTCTAGCCACAAGGAATAAAATAATTGTTCCTGACTGTAAGATGGGTTATTATTTCTCATACAATAATTGTTCCTGACTGTAAGATGGGTTATTATTTCTCATTACTTTTGGTTAATTTGCGCTGAATGCGTCGTACTGCAAAGACTCCTCTGCTGCACCAGGGGCCATACTTTCAAAACTGGCTAAGTGAACGTAAGTACTTACGCTCTATTTTCTTGTCTATGATTGGTGGATTTTGCTTGAAAGGCCGTCAATGATTGGCTGATGAACTTACGATCTCTTAACTTTTCTTGAAAGTATGGCTTGAAAGGCCGTCAATGATTGGCTGATGAACTTACGATCTCTTAACTTTTTTGAAAGTATAGGCCCTGGATGGTCGGAGATAGCCAGGGATGAGGACGGAGAAGAGGCGGATGCCGACATGCTTTTGACCTTTCATCTTATGACGACTGCTCTCTTGTATTGACCTTAGCTGTGCTTCTGTCCGATGGTCTGGGCCCATACTTTCAAAAAAAGTTAAGAGATCGTAAGTTCATCAGCCAATCATTGACGGTCTTTCAAACAAAATCCACCAATCACAGACAAGAAAATAGAGCGTATAAGAACTTACGTTCACTTAGCGAGTTTTAAAAGTATGGCCCCAGGGGCCATACTTTCAAGTATATTACAATACCTGATATTGAGGAACTATATATGGCGCTCTTCAAGCTGTAGGAGCTAAGCTCGACAAGTTCGGCATGCACCAAAGGCCTTCCAGTTGAAGACGTAATACTTTCCTGCACCTAATGGGTTGTCGAGTTTACTGATATAATGTCGGTGAAAATTACTGCTATTCTCAATGTTCATTTGGAGAGAACTTGATAAAATGGCTGAAGTTCAGCCCATATTATTGTTTACTTTTTTACGTGAAAATTCTATCAGCCTGACAATTTTAAATTAAATCTATTCACTAGCCTGTTAATTGACTCTTGAAACCAGTCTCTCGATCGAGCTTGTAATAAACGATTGCTGCGGCTGTCATACACTCTGCATTAAAAGCGCAATAAGTATTGCTTTATCTGTGGCAACTTGCAGAATTTTGGCGAGTTGTGATCTCGAACTCATTATGAAAAAGTACCATTCTTCGTGCATGAAAATACGTTGAACTACGCTTCATTGTTTCGAATATTTAAATGCACGGTTTACGCCGAGCGTCGTAATTGCAATTTGAGGCTAAATTGCAATTGCTAGAATTCCATTCTAGCAAATACGAACTCAAAATAAAGGCTATTATCATTTGAGGGATTTGAAAGAATAGCTTTAATTCTCTATCATTTTAACTAGTTTAGTTATCCTGCGAATTTAGTTCGATTTTGAAAATACTAAAATTTTATTTGATAAATCTCAAGAAAAAAAATCATAATGATTAAAAATAGAAACTGTATAATGTTATCCTGTTATAATTTAGTAACTTTTTTCTACAAGTGACTAAGGAATTTTCTCCTTTGCACAGTTCATGAACGAGAAGATTGGTGGGGTCGAAGGAACTAAACTGGACGATGACTTCGTCGAGATGGAAAGGGTGAGTACGTCTTGTAAATATCACTTCTAATTTGATCTGCAGTTCTGCACTATGCTAATTATATCCATGGCATTAGGCGATTTTTCGCGATCATATTGCTTTCTATTCGTTATTTCTATCTTGTTACATTATTCAGTATGAATATTATCTTTGTTGTAAGTAAAGATTTAAACTCGCATTGCTAGGGAAAGGAAATGCTTGCTGAGTAAAGACGAGAATCTTTAATGTCATTTGTTCTCTCACTCCGCGCTGAAATAAATATGCCAGATAAAATATTGCATATTTATTGGTCGGATGAATTATAGCGCAAATATCAATCAGATGAAATATCGCTCGAAGATGAACGGTATTTGCAACAAAGATGGCGCCTGACTTTCATTTTAGGTTATCTTATCTAGACTTCCGTTAATACATTTAAAAAAATTATTTCTTTCTGTCACAACATTTGATGGTTCATAGCGATCATTCTAAATTTTTTTTTTCAGCAGTTGATTGTCAACAGAGAAGCGCTTTTAATTGTTGCATTGATTACGGATATATAGGTACTGATTTAGAAGTGTACCATTAATTGTTAGGTATTAGAATATCTGCGAAAGCTTTCGAATATCTTCAAACGTGTAATGGTTAGGCTGTTATGACTCCGGATTTCTGACGTCCCAAGAGTTTGATTTTTATTTGTAGACGCGTTTTTTTATTTCCTTGATTTTCTAACCTAAAATTTCTATATATGTATATTTATTTTTAATTGTGATACCTTTTTAAGTTGATACCCTAGCTATTCTATGTAATATAATAAGGGGCAATTAATATGTGAAACATATTCTTCACGTTCTATTCTGTGCGCTGCAACTGCTGTTCCTCTTTACTTAGCTACAACAGGAAAGGAAAGGAATTAATATAAAGATATAATGCTGCATTAATGCAACATTATTGCACAGTTAGCTTGTTCCTGTGTTGTTTCTTTTAATTTATAGTGTTTCCAGCGATATCCGCCCCAAGCTGTAAAAGCAATACTCAAGTATAAATGTCTTTATGAATACAGCATAGAGGGAACTGTAGGGTGTTTTAGAAATGTGAAATATACCGTAGCGAACGGAAGATGGATTGTTGGGTTGTGATGCAGGAGGGTTATGTTGAAAAAGAGGTTGCTGGGACACTACGCTTCTCTGTGACTAGAATTCTCTAAATCACTTAATTGTGCATGTTCTGTTCATATAGACGCCGAGTATTTACTCGCATTTTTGGTGAAATGGAAGTGTACAGTTGCTTCGTGCCATGTAGTAGTTCTTACCAGCTAGCATGTTAAACATCAATGAATAAATCTCAAAAGTAAGCAAAAAATAAAGTACGGAAGTCTCCAAACTAAGAATGTAAAATTACTATTAATGAAACCTGATTTAAATTGGTATAATGACCAAACAAAGAGGTAATGGCGAGGATTGCACTGCTGGTTTCTTTGTTGAAGCAATTATGGTTTGGAGTACTGAAATATGTTTGTAGATCGTGTGAAGGCCAAGAGGGAGTAAGAGGATGGATTGAAAGAATATTATTGCTGAATATTTCAGTAAAAATGAATGAATACTAACCAAAATTAATACCTTTACTTTGGTTCCTGTTTTAGGATGATGTAAAATTTTATATTGAATGCATCATGGTCTCTTTGGATGCCACGAAAATAGCCTCAGGCTTTTAGGTTGTCTATGGAAATGCTAATTAATGTCTTCAATTTAATGACTATATAATAGCCTTCTATTATGCGGAGTTGAAAATATGACCATGATCTTCATGGCCGACCAATACTAAAATCTGACCTGAGAAAAAAAAATCTGACCTTAGGACTGACCTGAGGAGACCTGAGGTCTCCGAGCCACAATTCCAACCTTGTAAGGGAATGCGAAGACATTCCAGCGTCATAAGATCTTATGCTTTCTTCGTGTAATTGCATTCTCAATAAAATGACAAATGCTTTTATGGGGCCATCTCCTCCTACACTTTCTTTCACGATGCATAAGAATGTATCCTTCAATGTGATATTTCTACACTCCTCTAAAACATAGACATAGGCACAGTAATCTCAGCAATCTTCCATCTATCATTTCTTTACATCACATCCGTCTAGTGCATTACATCGCTAAGAACATTGAGAGTTAGTAAGAAGAAATACAGTTCTATTTATTCCATGAAAAATCCAGGTCTCAAATTCTGTAGACTTAATTCAGATTGTTTAGCATATTTTTTTATAGATTATATTTTTTCGCAAAGCTGAGAATAATGCTCTAATAATGGAGGGAGATTATTAGAATTTTCAAAATGTACGTTTTAAGTAGAGCTTGAAAAAAAAACAAAAATGAACGCATTTTCCTTGGCCCGTCTTACCTTTTATAGATGCGGCTATTATTTAAAACAGCATATTAATCCTTCTCTACCTTTCACTACCTACTGTAGCATCTATATAACGCGCGTCATGCACTTAAATAATTTAATTTCAATAAAACCTGAAATAGATGACTAGGCAATAGTGGTTCACACTAGAATGATGCCAAACAAATAGATGGCGTCAATACGCGTTACGCTGAATGCCGCTGAAATTTTACACTTATGAAAATGAGTGGGACATTGTACAAAAAAGCCATACATTTATTGCGTGTGACTGTTTTATCCTGACCCAGTTAGGAACGTATCAGTGATGCTCCCGCTCTCTGCTCGTGTAAGAAAGTGTCACTACTTGGACAATGTAACCATTCACATTTGTGAGTGTAGTCTGAATTAACTATACTAGACTTGTCTGAATAGCGATGCACTTTCGTCCTCATATGTGGGTAATATTAACCCAGTTAATCCTGTAAAAGAACGTATCAGTGCCACAAGCAGCAAGTGTGTCACTATTTGGACAATGTAAGCCTTTCACATCAACGTATCAGTGCCACAAGCAGCCAGTGTGTCACTATTTAGACAATGTAACCCTTTCACATCAACGTATCAGTGCCACAAGCAGCAAGTCTGTCACTATTTAGACAATTTGACCCATTCACATCAACGTATCAGTGCCACAAGCAGCAAGTCTCACTATTTAGACAATGTGACCCTTTCACATGAGTGAGTGTAGTCTGAATTAACGAGACTTGGTCTGCATAGCGATGCACTTTCGTCCTTATGTGAGTAATATTAACCCCGTTAATCCTGTAAAAGCACGTATCAGTGCTACAAGCAGCAAGTGTGTCACTATTTGGACAATGTGACCCTTTCACATGAATGAGTGTAGTGTGGGGAGCCGGCGTTGTTGCTACGGCGGCAGCGGCCGTCGTCGCGGCTGCGGGCGTCGAGGTCAGCTCCGGTCAATACCGCCTTCACTTTCTGCTCTGATTTTTGTCACGAGTCTACATAGTGACTCACTTTAATATTTTTGTCACCAGCCCTGGTGGGTCATATCGTCCACATAGTGACTCACTTTAATATTTTTGTCACCAGCCCTGGTGGGTCATATCGTCCACATAGTGACTCACTTTAATATTTTCGTCACCAGCCCTAGTGGGTCACATTGTCCACACAGTGACTCACTTTTTTCACACTTCACTGCACGAGTTATGAGTGCATTAGCACTGATACGCTCCTTCCCGGTCCTAATTCTGGGTTAGCATGACCCACCCAAGAGCCATAAAGAGCAACGCTATTTAGACCAAGTCTTGTCATTTATCGGAGTGCCTATAAGACCAATTTGCCGCCAATCCAATGACCGTGCCGTATACTAGCCGCTGGACGGTCAGACCAGGGGCGGATAGGAAGAGCTTACGAGCTTGTCTCTGAAAAAATGTTGAGCAACTTAATTTGACAAGGTTTGAGCACGTCAAATTACTCTGCTATATTCTATCTTGGTACTTGTTTGGGGATTCTACTGGAGTTGATATTCTGATCATGATGTTGGTTTATAAAAGTCGTCATCCATCATCACAATGGTCAGTATCATTAGGTCTGGGGCCATGAGTGGGTTGTGGTTAAGAAATACCCTAAATCAGTGGACCGTGGTTAAGAAATACCCTACATCAGTGGACCGTGGTTAAGAAATACCCTACATCAGTGGACCGTGGTTAAGAAATACCCTACATCAGTGGACCGTGGTTAAGAAATACCCTACATCAGTGGGCCGTGGTTAAGAAATACCCTAATCAGTGGGCCGTGGTTAAGAAATACCCTACATCAGTGGGCCGTGGCCCGGCAGTTGCAGAGGTCAGTGGAGGGCCAAAGCCACTTAGTTGCCACCATGCCGAACGATGTAGTCAGGCCACCCTTCTCTTCCCCTAAGGGTTGGTGGTGACAGCAGGGTTAGGGGGTGTTCTCTGAATTAGTCATAACCCTGCAGGGTTCGTGGAGAACAATTGTTCTCGACCCCCTAGAGATAGAATGACCATATTTCTGATATTTACGTGATGTTGCAGCAAACGGACGTGATGTGCGAGCTGGTGGAGGACATTCAGCTCAAGACGAAGGAATTCCTGCATCCGAACCCCGCGTCCCGGGCCAAGATGTCGGCGGTGAAGGGCATCAGCAAGCTGTCTGGGCAGGCCAAGGCGCAGACCTACCCTCAGCCTGAGGGCGTCTTGGGCGAGTCCATGATCACCTTCGGCAAGAAGCTCGGCGATGACAGCCTTTACGGTACGTGGATAATTGTGGAGGTGATAGCCTGTACGGTGCGTGAAAAATTGTGTTGATGGCCTGTACGGTACGTGGAACATTGTGGTGATAGCCTGTACGGTGCGTGGATAATTGTGGTGATAGCCTGTACGGTACGTGGACAATTGTGGTGATGGCCAGTACGGTGCGTGGACAATTGTGGTGATGGCCTGTACGGTACGTGGACAATTGTGGTGATGGCCTGTACGGTACGTGGACAATTGTGGTGATGGCCTGTACGGTGCGTGGACAATTGTGGTGACAGCCTTTACGGTACGTGGACAATTGTGGTGATAGCCTGTACGGTACGTGGACAATTGTGGTGACAGCCTGTACGGTACGTGGACAATTGTGGTGATAGCCTGTACGGTACGTGGACAATTGTGGTGATAGCCTGTACGGTACGTGGACAATTGTGGTGATAGCCTGTACGGTACGTGGACAATTGTGGTGATAGCCTGTACGGTACGTGGACAATTGTGGTGATAGCCTGTACGGTACGTGGACAATTGTGGTGATAGCCTGTACGGTACGTGGACAATTGTGGTGATAGCCTGTACGGTACGTGGACAATTGTGGTGATAGCCTGTACGGTACGTGGACAATTGTGGTGATAGCCTGTACGGTACGTGGACAATTGTGGTGATAGCCTGTACGGTACGTGGACAATTGTGGTGATAGCCTGTACGGTACGTGGACAATTGTGGTGATAGCCTGTACGGTACGTGGACAATTGTGGTGATAGCCTGTACGGTACGTGGACAATTGTGGTGATAGCCTGTACGGTACGTGGACAATTGTGGTGATAGCCTGTACGGTACGTGGACAATTGTGGTGATAGCCTGTACGGTACGTGGACAATTGTGGTGATAGCCTGTACGGTACGTGGACAATTGTGGTGATAGCCTGTACGGTACGTGGACAATTGTGGTGATAGCCTGTACGGTACGTGGACAATTGTGGTGATAGCCTGTACGGTACGTGGACAATTGTGGTGATAGCCTGTACGGTACGTGGACAATTGTGGTGATAGCCTGTACGGTACGTGGACAATTGTGGTAATAGCCTGTACGGTACGTGGACAATTGTGGTGATAGCCTGTACGGTACGTCGATGATTCTAACCATTTTGGATTGTTCGATGGTTAGCTGGTGGCTTCTACAGTAAAATTTTAAGTCTCCCTAAGTTTACCTTTTTATATCGTCAAATACAATTTTCGAGAAGGTATACTATTGATGATAGGAAAGTTTTCGTTATTTTGAATACTTTTATTTTGTGTTTGAATAATTAGTATGGCGAGCGTTGCCGAGGTAAAAATTTAGTAGTTTTAGATTGTATAAAATTGAATTTATATAGAAGCACTTGATTATAAAAAGTTTTGATTTAATTCTTTGATTTATTTGAGAAAGTAATCGGAGCTCACTGAAAATACTCACTTTACTGAAATGCATTTGAAATAAACATGAGGCTACGTTTTAATGTAATGATGGTATCTTCTGCTCCACGAAACTCGGACGTTCTTCCTTCTGCATAAACAAATTGAAAAACCTTTTCACCACTGAAATTATTCATGTTTCCATATTGTTTTTTTTTTGTATTTGCCAAATCATAATTTGTTGAAGCTCTTGCAGGAAAACGCATCGTGTTATCTGGCCTATTAAATGTAGATTGTTATTTCTGGAAAAGTCTACGAAAAGTTCATTTTTGGAAAGTCTACGGAATTCAGTACTGAAATTTAACTATCTTTCCAAAAACGCTGAATTTGTTTCTGTTTGACGTCATTAAACCGGTTGTTGCGTCCTATGTTTCTATTAATACCTGATGCGAGGTTATCCTGGAAGCCAGTCATCTAAAAATTAGGCGATTTCCTACTTCGGTCAAAATCGGCCGTCAAAATTCACTCTTCGTTGCAAGCAACGTCGCTTCAACGTTTATGTGTTGCAGGCGACGTTATCACTCAAACGTTCGTCTGTTGCAGGCGACCTTATCACTCAAACGTTTGTGCATCGCAGGCGACGTTATCACTCAAACGTTCGTCTGTTGCAGGCGACGCGCTGGTGGAGACAGGCGAGTGCATGCGGCAGGTGGCTGACATCAAGTACAGCTTGGACGACAACATGAAAATGAATTTCTTGGAGCCTCTCCATAACCTCAACACCAAAGACATCAAGGAGGTCATGGTGAGTTTATCACCTACAGTGGGGTGATGGTATGATAAATATAATTTCTCAATAATGCATAATGCATGAATGAAATTCAGGTGAATATAGTTTCTTAATAATGAACAATATATGAATGAAGATGACGTAAACGATTTAAACTTTCCTATCATTAGGTGTGTGATTACTTAAAGTGTCCATAACCATCTTATTTGTTAGTGTGTGAATAATATTAAGAATTAATTCAGTACTATTTGAATATATTATTCCATCATGGACTCTTCACTTCTCTAATCAATTTATTTTTAGAATGAATAATGGTTGTAATATCAGTTTAGTATAATGATTGCATTATTGAAATAACAGTCTAGTATAATGATTGTATGATAGCATTATGAAGTTAATGATTGTATGATAGCATTATGAAGTTAATGATTGTATGATCGCATTATGAAGTTAATGATTGTATGATAGCATTATGAAGTTAATGATTGTATGATCGCATTTTGAAGTTAATGATTGTATGATCGCATTATGAAGTTAATGATTGTATGATCGCATTATGAAGTTAATGATTGTATGATCACATTATGAAGTTAATGATTGTATGATCACATTATGAAGTTAATGATTGTGTGATCACATTATGAAGTTAATAAAGTTTCAATAATGTACAGCACCACCGGAAGAAGCTGCAGGGGCGCAGGCTAGACTACGACTGCAAGAAGCGGAGAAAGGAAAAGGGTGAGTATTTATTTATTGCTATATTGAATTCATTATGTCTTTATTATTTATTTCTATATTGAAATCATCATTGTTTCATTATTTATTTCTATATTGAAATCATCACGTCTTTATTATTCGGCTTAATCGCAAATTCATTATTGCTTTATTATTTATTTCTATATTGAAATCATCATGTCTTTATTATTTATTGCTATATTCTTTATTATTCGTCTCAATTGCAATCTGAATCTCTCGGAAAATGAAAATGATGTCCTCTTTATTTCCTTTTATTTTGATACTGCCAGGAAGCGACGTTGATTTATAAGGTTAATTTCGCTATAATGACGTCAAATCAACTTTGTTTCAACGGCATATACCTGGTGTTTTTTCCCATTTTTTTAGAATATACTTACTTATTTATTTTTCTCTCCATGTACTCCTTCTTCTTAGAATATATTTATTTTAAAACCAATTCTTGGACAAAATTTTCAAAAACATGAATTTCACTTGACATTTTTGTTTTACTTTCATGTTTTCATTTCACTTGGTTCGAAACTATATAAACTTAGCCCTGAGTTTTCTCTTTAAAATACCATTAATTCAGCATCATAATAACATAAGTTTTACACTCACTTTCATAACTTCCTTGGTTTCATGAATAGTTATGAGTTTCATGAATAATTTCCTTGTTTCATGAATAACTTTCTTGGTTACGTGCATGAAAAAACTAAATAAACTAACACTTTATATTTGCATAGACACTGCACTTGTTTTAGAATTTATTAAGATTACACATCACTCGCTGACGGGAATCGTGAGATTTCCTTTTAATTAATAATTATCAGTCGTCAATAATTAATTAGTGTAAAAATTAGCCCACTGATGGGAGTTAAGAATCCTATTGTGAACATATATGGATAATTGAATCCTCGGATAATAATAAAATGTTCATAGTAATTTAAAGAAAAAAATAATAATAAAATCCTCGATAATAAAGGATAATAATTTAATCCTACATCGTTGGATGGATTAACACGGCGAGATATTGGAACGATGGAGAGAACGGCATCTGAAGTGTGATTATAACTGAATTTTCTTTATTCTGAGCATTAGTGTTGTCATAATTATAAGTGAGTGATGTTACATGCTGCCGGCCATTCGTGATGTCTTGCAATGCTGAGTCGTAATGATGATGCTCAATGGTTGCCGTGCGGTCTTTTTTTTCTTCATTTAGAGCAATTTTTTGGGGAAAATTCAAAACCCGTGACAAAACCAGCTTCGTGACTCCCATGACCATCGTTATGTCTCCGCCGCTTACATAGAGGCTGGGATGTGATCGTTTGAGGAGTAATTGTGGCTACTACCATATCCAAATGTAATATATTTCCATGAAATCATAACACATAACATGTTTACATAAAACTATAAGAAATAGCATGTTTCCATAAAGCTATAACACATAAGATATTTACATAAAACTATAGCACATAACTTATTTCCATGAAACTATAGCACATGACATATTTCCATAAAACTATAACACAGAACGTTTTTCCATAAAACTATAACACAGAGGTACGGACGGTGTTGGAACGGATCATCATCACGGATAATTTTTTGTTTACCCAATTTTTTCTTCACCATCATTCATTAGCTATTATCACCATCATTCACTAGTAATTTATCGCTTTAATTCTGTTTTATTTTACTAGTTTTTATCACCATCATTCACTAGTAGTAACTTATCACTATAATTCTTTTATTTTACCCACGTGCTCGGTACATGTGCATGTGTCAGGAGTAGCGAGTCCGTACGGCACCCCAGGCAGCAGTCCTGGTCGTTCACCCAACCGAGCTGCGGGTAGGTTACTGCTGCGCTTCTTGTACGGGGGCTTATGTTCTTAACGTTATTGCTAAATACGTTTTTCCCGAGCCCATTTTAAAATAAGTGATAGAACTGCTTTATTGCTGAATACGTTTTTCCCGAGCCGATTTTATAATAAGTGATAGAACTGCTGCCATTGATCATTGGGGTATGTCATTCTTTATTGCGTTGCTTTGATAGAAAGGCTGCCATTGATCATTGGGGTACTATGTCATTCGCTGTTGCGTTGATTTTGCTACAGATTTATTATTGTATAAATAGTGGCGCTAGTTACGCGGGCTCTGAATAATTCTATTTAGAAGATTTCTTTGTCCCGTGTTGGTAATGATGGCTATTCGTGGAAATGTATTGTTCCGCTTAGTGTATTTTTACTTCCATCATCTTCCATCGTGTTCCGCATCGCCTAAATTTGTTGGAGGTTTCAAATTATGCTTTATTTACAATTATTCTCCAAAGAAATTGAAAGGGCTTACAAAAAAAACTCTGAAAATTTCTGGCGTTCCAAAATCATCTTGTTATCAATGCGACCTTGAAGCGAGATGTTCGCTTTGAAAAAAAGTTTTGATGTGAAAATATTACGAATAAATAAAAAATTAAAAACATTGCCTTGATCTCATCGCTCGCTTGATCACCATAAGTTAAAAATTACCACTATTAATAATGACTATGAAATTTTTTATAGGCATCAATCATTGTAAATTTTATCCTCCTACTATTATTCGATTACAGATGCGAAAGCTACTCTCCCAATCGACTGCATACCTTTAGTTTTTACTGCGTACAAGTTTAGCTCGTGTAGCTTTGCCAAATGTAGCTCATCAAAGACAATTCATATTGGTGCTCTCTGTATATTCGTATGTATGCACCAATGAACATTCGTATTAGTTATTTTTTGGCGTATTTCCGTTATAGGTGAGCGTTGGCAGTTTACAAACGACGTGCAATTCTTCAGTAGGTTTCTCAGGCTTATACACTTGCTAGAGTTCCTGTAGTATTTTTGCTATGCACTTGATGCATTTTCGGTTTCTGAACAATGACTTTCAACTGCTATGCTGGTAGATCGTGATTGATATTTTGAATTGTGACCATCGCTACTTTTAGAATTGATTGACTTGAACCAGTGATGTTGCTTTTTGATTTTGATTTGGTTTTGTCGCGTATTTAATGCAACAAATTTGTTGTCGCTCCTTGACAAAAATGTCTGTCGCAAATCAGAAAATTATCGTCGATGACTGTGTAGTGAGAAGCTTCTATATGCAATCAATTCCCCAATTCTTGCTTTGATGATTTTAATTCAGGTAAACTTGTAGGTTAAAAACGGAGAACAAGATTTGCAGACGCGCATTATACATTCCGAGAACTCACACTGGCAAGTAGTCAGGATCCAATTCAAGTCTCAAGTATATACGGCTTAATTTATAGAACTCACACTGGCAAGTAGTCAGGATCCAATTCAAGTCTCATGTATTTGTTTTAATTTAATATCCGGTCAAAGGAGATTGTAAGACTTCATTATCCCGACGATGTAAGGAGCGAGCGGTATACTCATACACTGTTAGAAAAATTCCCGTTAACGGTATTACCGGCGTTTCAGTGGCCGGTCGGCACGTGAAAAGAAACGCCATGTCGCCGTTTTTATTCTAATTTAACAAAAGAAATCCGTAAAACATCTGATAAAAACGTCGAAACAGTATATTTTCACGGGGCGACCGGCCACTAGAATGCCAGTGGGACCGTTTTTTCACCGTTTTTTCTAACAGTGTAGCGGGCGCGTGTTCTCTACATCATTGCATGCCTTCGCAATACCAATTATTATAATTTAACTTATTGCTGCGCGTATCGTTTCGTTTACTCTCATTGCTTGCATACTCTTCAAGAATAATAAATTGTTATCGGTAAAATAGTAAATTTATCAGTAAAAGTAAAGCTCACAAATGGAGGAGCTTATTGGCCTATAATAGTGGTATTGCTCACAGCTGCTTCTCTAAATGTCGGTGAAATGCAGAAGTACTTTGGGTTTTGATTAAATTCAACACATTTTGATTAAGTTCACCAACCAACTAGATTTCATCTAAAAATTCACTTCCACAGTTCTTTCTTCCGCCCTTTATATGTTGTAGTTTCATATACACGAAAGCTCATTATACGTACACGTTTTTTTTCTTACCTGGATTCTTGTTTATATATCGGTTTCGTTCTTCAAATTTCATTTCCTTTAATTTTTGCGTGATTTATGAAACCAATTTCTTTTCGTTTTTTACTTTTTTTATTTCTATTCATGTACAACATTTGCGCAGCGAATTTTATCTTCATTATTCATTGTTGACAAAGCCCCTAATATTGCTTCCTGCACTGTTAGAAAAATTCACGTTAACGGTATTACCGGCGTTTCAGTGGCCGGTCGGCACGTGAAAAGAAACATCGTGTCACCGTTTTTATTCCAATTTAACACTAGAAATCTGTAAAACATCTGATAAAAACGGCGAAACAGTTTATTTTCACGGGGCGACCGGCCACTAGAACGCCAGTGAGACCGTTTTTTCACCGTTTTTTCTAACAGTGAAAAGATTCGTATTCATTCAAAGCCGTCATTATCACGTGCCTAAAGATTCATATTCATGCAAAGCCTTTATTAACACTTCCTAAAAATATACGTATTCATTTAATGTCGTCATCGTCACATACTTAGAGATTGGTCTTACTTTAATGTCTTCACTATTAATCCCTAAACTAATCTATTTTTGTCTAAGTGTCGTGATATTACCTGGGCCTTAAAATCTATTCTTAGTGGGAAAATAGTAAAGATTGGGGGAAAAGGAGAGAAGGATTGCATACAAATTTTTAATTTGGCCGTTTGTTTTAAACAGGAAAAATATAGGAGTCCTGTGTTCTATTACTATGCATCAAATGTGAGTTTGAAAGGATCTTTTCTTCAATCAATTAAAATACATAAGCTTTTTTATTATTTACGAGATCAAGGGTAACTGGAATGTCCAGGGCCTATACTTTCAAAAAAAAAGTTAAGAGATCGTAAGTTCATCAGCCAATCATTGACGGCCTTTCAAGCAAAATCCACCAATCATAGACAAGAAAACAGAGCATAAGTACTTACGTTCACTTAGCGAGTTTTGAAAGTATGGCCTCAGGATTCGGGATAACTGGTTTCCAATAGTGTAGGAGTTATAAAGCCAGAGCAAGCGTGGCTAACCTGCTATATATAGCAGTTCTCAAAATGAACTCAAAAATTTTGCGAGTAACGCTTGTTAAGTATGAATTTTATGAGAATATCCTGTTCCGTGTAGGACTTATGAATCCGTATTAAAAAATTCTTGTTTATGGTCGTATCACTTGCATTGGTCTCACCAGTAGTTGATCTTCTATCGTTGTGCTGCAAGTCAATTTTTGACGCGATTGTTTTGTAGGAATTTCCGGTTATCTGCGGTGTTGGTGTAGTTTAAAATGTCCATAAGCAAAGTGAATATTCAGTTTATTTTAAATTCTAGACGGTGTTCAGTGATTTGGCCGCATCGTTGCCAACAACATTGTCACTTATCGTTCTAAACTGTGTTACAATTGACCTTTTCACAAGTTCAATGTAATAACGAATGTTTCTATTGAAGCACGAGATCTATGATAACATACCTCATGTAGTGCGTGGAGAAGTTCACATAGGCATCATGTCTACCTTCTAGAAAATTTTGAAGACCTATCCATTTATGATATTATGATTACCCATTAGTTGCGCTAGTGAAAACTAATCGATAGTTACGAAATTATCATCGTTGAGCATTATTGCCATGATGTTCCAGGAATGCACCTCAATTAATAATTACTAATTTCACTTCTTTGCGGCTTTTTTTACTGATGAAGGTAATGTATTGTTGGAAATCTGAACGCCCAAACCTGAGTCCACGTAATTGCTATTGTTGAAGTAAAAAAAATTCCTCCCTCTGTTTTTTGTATAACCGCCGCACTTTTTGGCTGTTGCTGAAACCGTAGTATTGACAATACTAGCTCTGAATTTGCTTCATATTACCATGATGTTAAATTCTTTTATGTTAATTTGCGATTTAAGCAATCATTTGCCTTTATTACTTGTTGTATTCTGGTGAAGCTTTAAAATGTAGACTGTATGCGCATCCACTATATTTATAAACATTAATTGGGACAATTTAATTTATTGTTGTAATTTATCAAATAATTCCCCTGCTTTTGACGAAATTATTTTGATAAGTACAAGAGAACGAGTATTATCTCCTTGATTTCATAATATAATGCTAAAAAAAATCTTGTTAATTTGTTCTTCCGGAACGTAGATGCCTTTAACTTCAGTCTCTTTTAACATATTGAGTGCAACTATGCTATTTAATTATTCTTCATTTAATTTTAATTGCGTTTTATTTTAATTGCGTTAACGCATTAGCTTTGCTAATGCGTTAAAAGTTTACTTAATTAGCTCTCTTAATCTCTATCATAAATTCAAGTATTATATATATAAATATATTCAAATTTGAATATAAATATATTCAAAACTGTAAATATCTCGTTATGTTAATCCTAGGATATTCTTAGATGCCAGTGCACTGAAACGGGAAAACTAAAATCACTTGCAATTTTACATATTTCCAAAAAGTCATAAAGAACCGCCATAACTTCCAACGTATTCACAAGATTTCTCAAAAATTTAGAAGTTCATGTTACGTCAAAATTATTTTGTTTCAATCATAAATAATTTGGAGTGGTGTTCAGCAGCTTATAGCGATGATACCAGGAATCTATGATTCCTGATTCCTATAGCGATGATACCAGGAATCTATGATTCCTGATTCCTATAGCGATGATACCAGGAATCATCTGAGTTTTGGTGCGACGCAGGCTTGACGCGCTTTCCCTCGATTATTATTATAGATAAATTTATTGTTGGATTTCCAGACTGAATTCATGAATCCTTGGATTCCTTCGTATTTGTGAATGGA